CCTAACCCTTTAGGGTTTAGGGTTTAGGGTTTAGGGTTTAGGGTTTAGGCCCTATAAGCCCTAAACAAAACCTGCACATGTGAATGATGACTCCCGCACATGTTCTTGATAATTCACGCGCATCTCTTTGATAAATGCCGCGCTTGTCTATGATAAAACTGGTCTTTATTCCCGAATTACACACGCCTGCATGCTATCAAACACCTTGTTTTTCAGGTATCTTTACTACTCACTGACTTCAGGACTTCAGGGTCTAGATCTGTTGCCCAGCATCACTTGTCAGGTTTTGGCCCAATCTCTGGTACAGCAGCCGAAACGCGTGAGGAGATGCAGCTGATCCTTGGATGCTGAAGGACTCGAACGCACCTGTCCAGATTCAGCGGGCTCCGCGCTACATCACTTGGACACCAACCAGGCACGTCCGAAGCAGGTACGAGAGCCTTGTGTTCTTGGTTCACGACAAGTCTGAGATGCGTGAAGGCCCAGCAGGAGCATGTCGAAGTGAAACGATGTATGCTTGAGGCATGAATAGACCCACTTCAAGAATGCGGCAGCCGGGCAGACTAGTTCCTTCATGGTCTTGTTTCAAAAACAAGTCAAGCAGCCAGGGCATGTATCAGAATTTTGTACTCTGTGAATAAGGGACGGAGCCGTGACAGTCAGAAAGCCTGAGCTGTGGATTTCATGGATTTCATGTCTATCGAAAACAGCCTTCCATGTAGTTCAGTACAGAATACATGTTCCTCGGCTTTATACTTCTGTACTGCACTGCCTCGGCTCTAGAACTTGTTAATACTTGCGTACAGTTCAGAGGTTTTGAATGGCTTATGGGATTCGGAAGCTTCCACGACCCCTTCGCTGGATATTTCTCGAAGTTTGCTTCCCTGAACAGTGAAGCCTACATAGGCCCGAAACTCAACCCTCCTGCCTTACTACCACTGGGTCCGGGAATTGCAGGCTAAGCCAAGCCTGCGCCAGGTCAGGAGGCTTCTTTGGGGTCATGGGTGAGGTTGGGAACTTCGGGTTTGGGGTTCACTCATGTTGGTGTTGACATGGTAGCTTAACTTCCACCGATCCTCGACATCGCAAGCTCTCTCAAAGGGAACCCTCTATTGTGGAACTTCTTACGCCGAAGCCTGAACAACCGCGCTCAACCTGAAATACTCGACAATTACAGTTTAGAAATTTATGTAGATTTCTCACAATCCCGGGACTCTATACTACGCATGTCATACCTGAACGCAGACTTTGACCCAATATGCAGATCCTTGCTTGCAGGCTAGACTCCATGTCAAAGACTTACCCAAACCTGTGCCGGGTGACATGAGCTCCAAACTTGAGTGCAGCACGTGAAATACACACCACACCCTAGTCCTTTAACTGCAGACCCCAAACTAGTACGAAACCCTGAAACCCGAAACAACAACCCAGTTCCCTGAACTCCGAACATCCCTTAACCTTAGCCTGGGATCCCGTGACTGGCCTGTGGGGCTGAAGAGGAACTCCTTTCTGGACCGAATGAATGGGCTGTGGACGCCCAAACCCTGGCCCTGCGGTGCCCTACAACCCTGTAAACTCCCTAAACCTTGAGACTTAATTAACCTTGCGCATGCGACAGCCCCAAAACCATGATGATGATGATGATGATGATGATGATGATGATATGATTTAGTAAAAAGTCAAGCCGTTCAGGCTTAAGGTTTGGGGTGGTGGGTGTCCTTATGCAAACTCATCACGAAGATTGGGCAGCCTGTGACAGGCTTCGATGGCCCCTCTGCTCGGACCACCCTTCCTCTCAATGGAGAATGTGGACGCAAACTTGATGAAATCGCCAACCCTAAACATCACCAAATGAGGGCCTCAACGAGTACTTGCCATCACCAACCGGTCTGTCTACGCCCTAGAAACCAATTCCAGGGTTTGTCAAGAAACAGTACTCAGGCCCATGCCACTGGCTAAGGCCTCTATCGCTACACTAAGCCCCACAACCCCTCCAACCCCCATCCCAGCATAAATCATATAGAACCCCCACCACCCTGAGCCCGAAACCCTAAACTGCTCAAAACTCTTGCGCCTCCCGGGGCTTGCATCCATGGCAGCTGGATATCCAGCGACTGCTCTCGTCACCATCGAACGCATTCAGCGCCTCTTGGACGGTTTAGGGCTGATCATACAGGAGCCTAAGAGGGCGTGGGGTTACCGTACATTTACAAAATGACCTTGGCGATAGAGCTTTAAAGGGAATGCAGACGGGGCTCTGGCCTCGATATAGAAGTCACGGTTCAGAGAGGAAGGGACCGAGCGCTGCCACGACAGGACATAGGACACCAGCCCTCCGGGTAACTACCACAAAAAGAGTCATGGCATATTGACACTGCAAAGGCATGCAAAGGCTCAACATCCAATTCCTCAGCTGCAAAATTTGCGCCCTGACGCCGAAGACCGAAAGCCCACGCGACAGAGACTGAGCAGCTAGTAGCAGCTGGTATCCGAGCTACTGACGGGTGAGTGCGCATACTGCGTTCCCGAGCTGCCAGCTCTCCTGCAAGCCAAGGCATCAAGGCATCCACGAAAGGTCGAAAAAGATGCTGGTGGCAGTAGCGGTAAGGGGGATGGAGACAACAAAAGTAGTGGCAGTAGAAACGGCAGCGCGGTGGATTCTCCGTGGTGACAATCTGCTAGGAGGGGGAGCATTGACCATTGCACATGCTGCCGGTGGCACTCTTCTTCCAGAAGCGATCAGACCTCGAGGCTCACTCCACGACGTCCAACCACGATATAACCTGCATTTAGAATACATGGGCGGCTCACGATTTCTGGAGTCCTTGTTTTGCTTGGCCGATGGTAGTTCGAAGGACCCCACAATGTTCAAAGCACCTGGCCAACCCTAGGCCATCCTTGGCCCTAAACACCCAAAGGCTGCCGACATGGTCCTGAAAACGGTGTGCGCAATCACACAGAGGCCATCCGCATGGAAGCGAACCTGTGCGCCAGCATTATACACATCTGTGCGTGCCTACGAAAAGTAGAAACAGCCACCGGCCCTTGTACAGTAGGCGAGATGGAAAGGCCAGAAGCAAGTAGAGGAGAGAAGAAACAAGGAGAAAGACCAGAGGAAAGGCAAAGAAAGAGAAAACAACAAGAAGAGAACACAGCCTAGCTGAGTGGGCTCAGCTTCGTGTTTTTAACCAGGTCGCAGGCTTTGGGCTTTCGGGCTTGCCGGTTTCGGTTTCTGGTTGTCGAGACACCCACATGAACCAACTAGTTCGTCGATTTAACGTTGACAATGCGTTTCTGAGGGTTTTTTGCCGCGGAGGTGGCGGGACGCAGGACGCTGGATGCGGGACGCATGGGGACGCAAGACATGCACCGGACGCGGGACGTGGGACGCGGGACGCCCCGAACGTGGCCGAGGCACGGTGCGCGGGGACGTGGGACGCGGGGCATGGTGCGCAGATGAACCCGCGCCTCCGCGTCCCGCGTCCCGCGTCCCGCGCCCCGCCTGCGTCCGCATCCCGTGTCCCGCGGCCTACGTGGTAAATGGCCCACGGGGGCCACGGCCGGGGCGCGCCGTCCCACGGCAAGAAATCAGGACCAACAACAAGCAGCAACAGCTACACCACCAGCAACAGCAGCAGCAACAGCAACAATTGCAAGCATTTTATGTGGCGTTTCCGGTTCAGCATAGATCTTCAACACGCCCCGTCCGCTGGTGATCCCGGCTCCTCCTCCTCCTCCTCCTCGTCATCATCATCATCATCGTCATCATCATCATCACCATCATCATCATCATCGTCATCGTCATCGTCATCAACATCTTTTTCATCATCATCATCGTCATCATCCTCATCATCCTCATCATCCTCAACATCCTCGTCATCCTCATCACCATCATCATCATCACCATCATCATCATCATGACATATGTATGTATGTATGTATATATATATATATATATATCATATATCATATATCATATATCAAATATTCTATATTTTATAGCTCAAGCGCGTCCCTCATATTAATGTCGATTCCGGTTCATCATCTATCTCAAACGCGTCCCCTCATTTGTCGATTCCGGTTTATCATATATCTTAGACACGCCCCCTCATTCGGCGATTTCGAGTCATCATGCATCTTAACCACGCCCCCTCATCTTGCGATTCCGGTGCACCACATACTTTAAACACGCCCCGAACATTGCAGGCTGTACCCAGAACAACCGAAGCCTCAACCTTGGGTTTGGGGCACCAGGGATCCAAGAACAAACCTCATGCGCAAATTCCACCGTGGTCTAGGTCATTCACCAACACAGGGATAAGCTTATGCTTCAGACTCCAAGCCAATCCGCAAGCTCTCCACTGCAGTCTCCACCACCGTAACTCCCACCGGCGCCTCCCGCACTACCCACCGGCCGACCGTCGTGCCCGTACACATCAGTCTCCAATGCGCCGCCGCGAAGATGTCCTCCTGTGAGACGGAATGCCCAAACAAACAAACCCCGCAAAAGGTCAGTCTGCGGGAGCCTGGTGGTGAAATCTACATGCCTAGAAACGTTACATGTAGAACTTATAGAAGGTCCTTGCAACGATGGTTGATGCAGGTAGCATTGCTGCCACTGCAGCTGCCGAACCTGCCCCGAGGCAGCTCCACACTAAGGCATTCCGCTCGTGGGGCAGCAAGTTTGGCGGATACATATTTATGTGTGTATATATATATACATACATACATACATTTATTTATTTATTTTCTTATTTATTTAGTGGAATTACGGAATGCCACGGAATACTCTTGGTAATTGAACTCAAGCCTTGAGATTGGATTTAGACGGCTTCGTAGCTTCTGTTCAAGTTCACTCCCGGCTTCACAGGCTCATCCGAACGCGTCTGCTTCGTCATATGTTCTGATTTTTCGTTTCTTCGGCGATCATGCACCACAAGAGCTTCAGCCCTGCTACAATGAGAGGTAAACAATGTCTTACGCCAGATACCAAGCGAGGAAACAAGCCCAAGCCATTCTCGCGGCAATAACCCAAGGCCCTACAGCATTCCTAAACCCTGAACCAGAAACCATCAACCGATACCGAAAGCCCTCATATCCTAAACACCAGCCGCCAAGCCCGGATTCTGGCCTGAGGATCCCCCCACAGCCATCCTAGCAGGGAGAAGATGGGGCTATCGATTTTAAGTCATGAAATTGCCTGGCAAGGTTCTACCGGCTTCATAGAGGGCTGTATGGGGCAGCGATTTGGGGTGTTGTAGGATCTTGGGCTCATAAGTCTTGCGGGAGGCCTTGGATGTTAGTCAGGTATATCTGTATACACACTTTGCGGTTTAGTTTATCAAAAGACTGCGCTAGGCTTTGGCAAGTCGGGGTTTAGGAGTTACGGTTCACCCTAGACACCGACGCACCGAATACACAATGAGGTCTGTGGTTTGCCAGTCTCAAAGCTTGGGGAATCGTGTGGGGCAGGCCTGCAGCCTCCGGGACCTGCGCAAGGGTCAAGGTGAAGCGATGGCTCGGGCTAAGGCTGAGGGTCTTAGGCTCAGGGCTTCTGAAATCGAGGTCCTTTACCCGCTTCGGGTTTAGGGTAGTCTGGGTGTAGAGTATATCTATCTTCACAGGCCGCGGCCACGGGTCGATGCATACGGCTTGGGTTTGGGACCGTGGCAACAAGAATCATGAATTGAGAAAACATGTTATAACACACATTGGATCCCAGAATCATCCACGAAACACTCACCAATATTCCTATAGGAATCCTATACTCTCACCAGCTTCATCATCTCAACCGTGCTTCACATCGCCCCGGCCCAGGCGCAAAGAAAGCGCGCCGGCCAGGCTTCCGCATCTCCACACTGCCAGCCGCTGAAAGCCGGGTCTGTGACCTGTTAGGTAGTCCTGTAGGACTTATCTTTCTATTTGGATTTTCTCTCGTTGTGGCTAGGAGTAAACTGTGGTCACGTATGCTTGCAGCCATTGACGCCAGTGCTCGGTATTAGCAACAGTAGCAGCAGTGCAGCAGTAGCAGTACCAGCAGCAGCAGCAGCAGCAGCAGCAGCAGCAGCGGCAGCAGCAGCAGCAGTCGCAGTCGCAGTCGCAGCAACAGCAGCAGTAGCAGTAGAAGTAGCAGTGGCAGTAGGAAGGAGGAGTAGGAGTACGAGCAGGAGCACTACTACTACTACTACTACTACTACTACTACTACTCCTGCTACTACTACTACTACTACTACTACTACTGCGGGCTGGGCTAACTATGAAAAACCGCCGTTTGTCTGTAACGACAATTAACCTCG